TTTTTTTTTTTCTTTTCTCAAAGCAAAATATTGAGGTAAAAATGCACTAACAATAACTCAGCACTTCAGCATTTAACCCAACAAAAGCCCTTTTTGAACTTAATAAATTTTTGGGAATGAAAGTAAATAGTACTTAGGTATAGAACTCAAGATTTCATATCCAAGCACATTTTTTTAAGAGGATAGCCACAAAACAACTTAATGTTAGACCAACATAACAACAATAACAATAATAATAATACAATAAAAACCTTTGTTTAAATAAAAGTCTAAAAATTTAATTAAAAATATGAGATAACTTCGAGTTTAAAGTAGAGTTTGGCTATTACTTTTGGATGGGGTAATATAAGAATTTTTCTATTAGACCACCCCTATTCGGGAACTACAGTATATTAACATAAAAAAGAGAAGTACAGTGTTTCCTGGGCCCTGTGCATTATGTTGTGTTCAACTGGGCTAAAAAACTGAAAAGGAAGGGCTTTAATGCTGGCCCAAAAGGCTAAGGGCTTTAAGCTATCAATTAAAAACATAAGTGAGGGTTACCCTGTTAAAATAAAAAAATAAAATAAATAAATAAAAATAAAAACAAAAGGCGTAGCTACTAGCTACTCCTAGTTGAAGTTTACTTGTTTTTCTCTTTTAATGCATCAGAGACCCTAAACACCTTTTTAATTCTCTCTAACCCTTCATTCTAAGATCTCTAGTCCAAGATTTTCTCCTTCGAGTCATATCGTATGCGACTCTGCTTGTTTTTCCATTTACTATTCTCCGATTTTCTTTGAATTCTATGGGCATCTGATTTGCATGGGCAATAATAGTAAGCCCCCTTCTTCTTTTTCTTCCATACCCTTCGAATTCTGGGGAAAAAAGGAAGAAATTTGATGAAATTTCATTACTTTGAAGGTGGGCAGTTTGGAGAAAGTGCTGATTGACCTTTTGAAAGATTTAATAGAGAGGAAAGCAGGAGATTGTGTGCCTCCAGAAGGAGAAATATTCCCCCCTCAGAATATTGTAAGTAAATAGATTTAGCATTCTTCTAGCTTTGTATCTTCAAAAGCAGCGATCTTTCTAGAGTCTTGAAGTGTTCTTGTTACATCCCAGACTTGCAACCCTATCCAAAAGGTCATGTTTGAGCTCTATGATTAACTCCATATTAACTAGTTGCAGACGTTCTTAGAGGAAAGATAATTTTTGGTCTCTTTTGAGGAAGCTTTTGAATCCAATTCATAATAAATAAGGTTTAAATACAAAAAAAAGAAAAAAAAAAGAAAAAAGAAAAAAGAAAAAACAACAACAACAACAACAGTGGGAAACTCTTAGTCTCCCAGAAATTGTTAATCTCTTCACTAGCTAACCTGGAACAGGGTGAACCATACACCATGAGCTTTGAAACCCAATAAGCATAGGTTATAACTTAAGAGCCATAATTGAATTCCTAATTTAACTTAACAATTTCCATCAATTAACTTATGTTGTTCTTCAATATAATATCTATGTCAAGATACAAGAATTAATCAACGTCTCGTAAATAATCCACATTGTTTAAATTAGAACTATCTAAGTTAGGATAGTTGACTTCAATCCAAGCACATGCTTACTGGGTCTCCATTCTAAAACAACCGGAAAATATATTCCTTTACCTCAGGAAGCATAGAATCAGTTCCATCAAACACTGCTAATCAATACTAAACAGTTTCATCAGTGTCATAGATAAACATGACATAAATACTTCTAATAATCATAAGATAATAGCGAGGCAGCCTTATGCTTGTTCAACATGTAGATGTATGCAAGTTATTATCTATGAATTTTTCCCTTGTGGGTGTACATCCCACCATACCAATGGTCCAACCAATGGTTCTTCCTACTGTGCAGTGATATAGATATCTTCCTACACACTTGCAGTCCAATTGGGTTTCTTACTTCCAGTCCAACTGGGTTCTACCTAACTCAGTAGCTCAAGTATCATTTTAGATATCTTTCTTTCTGTACTCCAAATACATAAACTTTAGGAGCATCATCATTCCTTACTCCAATTAACTTTAGGAGTATCTTATCCAGCCTAACAACTTAGGTATCACACCATAGATTCAAATGCATATAAACAACAATATAAACTGTTTTGCATATACTTTAGTTATAGCAAGACAAGTTATTATTAAATCACAGCAAGATAGCACAGTAGCTTGCATCAATTAAAGCTTTCAAAAGCATAGCTACAATGTCCAACATGTAGTCTCAACTTTAATCCAGCACTGACTTATAGTGTAGACATGACTAAACAATTAAATTCAGCTTGCATAATAATTGGTCCATTTAGTACCTTTCATGGTTAATAGATTCTTAGAACTTCAGGCTTAACTCACGAGCATGACAAATCATATATGGTTCAGACACAACAGCTCACCATGTGTTAATTATTAATTCATAATTTCAATTGCATGTTAAGCATACTTCTTTATTAACCCTATTTCTTGCACTAGCTTTAGTCTAGGATCATATTTAACCAGACAAATATCATTTTAAATTCAATTGCATGTTAATTTTGCTTGAGCCCTAGGATAACAATATAGGTTGGCCCAAATGCAACAACACCTCTAGGAAAACAAAATCAACAAGATCTTGCAGCTACCAACCAACAGAGCACATGTAGCCCCTTTCTTTGTTGCTTGGCTAAAAGAAAGAAAGCCTAGAAATCCAGAATTGTAAATACTAACAACATGCATCAGTGGGAATAAGAGAAAAGATGTCTAGAATCCTTTTCTGCAGACTAGAATTAGATCATGGTATTTCTAGTGGTTTTAGCCACTCTTGCGAGCCACTTGTCTTCTATAAAGGCCAAGTGTTGCATTTACAGGGTTAGTGGCTGACATGTGCCCCACTGACCAAGTGTCACAGTTGGCCATGCAAAACCTCAGTTTCTGTTCTATGCAATTAAGTCCTTAACAATTAAGGACATCAATTCTGACTATAAACAATTGAGGACGGGGATGTTTTAGTTCTTGTTGAGGGTATTGCTTGGAATGAAATTAGAATGCTTTAATTTGGAAAAATTATGGAATGGGTTTTCCCTGTTGCCTGGCTACTGAGAATTATGGGTAATTTTTGTGTGTTGGTGGCATTCATTTCGTTCATTTCGTTCATTTCTTAATCTTTTTCTCTCCATTTTCTTTCTGTTTATTTTTTTAGGTTTGTGTCTACCAAGAGTTTAGTGATTATACCGAACAGGATAGGAGAGAACTTTTGCATCATAAATGGATAACACGTATACAAAGAAGACAAAGTGGCATGAAGAAACCCAGATGGATCGGCTAAGCGATTTGCCTGATTGTTTACTACATCACATTCTTTCCTTTATGGATTCTAAATATGCAGTTCAAACTTGCATTTTGTCCAAGAGATGGGTTAGTGTTTGGACTCATCTTCCAGTTCTCAAACTTGACTCAAAGTTCTTCAATAGAGTGGGTAACTTTAGAAGTTTCATATCCCAAGTATTGGACCATTGCGAGAACTCTAACATCCTTACACTTAGCATTTGCTCGCCCAGAAAGAATTTAGCGAGGTCTCTTGTTGATAAAATTATAAGCTTTGCTGTTTCTCACAGTGTTCAGGAGCTTGATTTGTCTTTGAAATACCCTATAGGTGAGTTGCAAAATGTTTTCAGGTGTCAATCTTTAAGGGTTCTCAAACTTGATTTATTATGTGGCCTTCCATTACCAAACTCAATCAGTTTGGCATCATTGAAGACTTTGATTCTTTGCAAAGTTAGGCTAAAGAGTGAAAACCACTGCTTTGATCTCTTTTCAAGCTGCTTGGATTTGCAGAATATTGTTTTGGATCATGTGTTTTTAACCATCTCAGACATCTTCAATATATCAGCTCCTGCCCTAGTCAGTTTGACCATATCTAAGATTATTTTTTATGTTGCAAAGGATGCCAAAATAATGTATTATGCTCCCATAAAGGACCGGAAGGTTGTGATTACTGCTCCCAGATTGACCTCCTTCAGCTTCACATGTTACAGACCAATGTCGTTGTCCATGGATAATTCTCCCCTTCTTGAAAATGTGAACCTTAGCATGTCTCATGATGACTTATCGGATACTCAAGAGGAAGGTTCCTTTATGTTTCTGATTGAGATGTTGCGGCAGCTTGGTAATGCAAGGTCACTTACTGTCACATTAGGTTTAGTTAAGGTATGTATGGAATCTTATTTGGCATGCCTAATATCCCATAAATTTAATTCTTAAAAGCTAGTTATTTGTTTTGTTTTTCCAGAACCAGAGTTTAAAATTGTCTGTTGTACTTTGAAGTTTCTCTCACAGCATTCCAGATTGCTTGAAGAACGACCATTTCCCTTTTCTAAACTGGAGTCATTGAAAGTACTGAGAGGAAGACAGAGTTGCAAGAAAATTCCTCCAAACGTGCTGAACTTTTTGGTTCAGGGCTCTCCCATGGCTAAAGAGCTTCTCCGGATGTTCCAGAAGGTATGTAAAACTGAGAAATGCTTAACTGCTATCTCCCTGCAGTGTTAATTGCATTCCATTTTATGTAAAACTGAGAAGTGCTTGACTGCTATCTCCCTTGTAGTGTTAATTGCATTCCATTTTAACTCCCAAGTCGTGATATTTTGCAAGCTTAAAAGTGCTTAAATGCTATCTCTCCATTTTTTCCTTTTCTTTCCTTTTATGTTTGTTGT